AAGGTTGGAGCTTAGAAGAAGAAAGAGGTGGTTGAAGAGTGCAAGGAAAGGAGTAGATCCGAACTCTACTCAGAGAGAAGCTTCCATTCAGCCGGAGGATTTGCGATCTAGCAGTCAGACGCTCAACAAGTAGACTTCAACAACTACTTTCGAGGTATCTCTTCTTCGAAGGGGAAGGAACTGACGCGGTAACAGCACATTTACATACACACTTTGTATCCCGCACTATGAGATCTTCCTGGGGATTTGTACTCTGACTTTGTTATGTTTTTATAAACTGGTTTCCAGACACGCACATCTTTTATGAAATGATATGATTGGTGAATGTTTTAATTCTAATGTTTTGCTAAGTATGTGTATTTAAAAATGAAATTTTTGGCTCGTATTTTTGGGATATTACAGGTTGGTATCATAGCCCTGGTTTGAGGGATTCGGACACACCTTCGGGGGTGTCTGGACTCAAATCGAGGGATTAAAATAATTTGAAAAAGAAAATGTTTTCTAAGAGTTCTTTTTAAGAAGAAACGAAGTGTGTGATGTGCGCGACCGGCTGAGCTCAAGTAAGTATTCCCCAATGTACCCATACAAGTTTATATATGTTTATCAGTTCCTGTAGAACAGCATGCTAGAATAGGACTAAGGATCTAGGAGCGATGCCTTATGTGCCTGCTTCATGTGCTTCAGTATATGAAAATTGCATGCTAGGATTGAGTAGACAACAATAGGATAGCCTGTTTAGGTTATGCCTGATAGCATGAGCTTAGCATTGTATGTTAGTACAGTTTCCCATTATGAGGATGGAATTGCTTGAGTAGCCTCCTATGTATGAATGCTGCTTGCTTTGTGCTTTTGTGGGACTCTAAGTGATGGGAGTTAGCCATTAGGTAAATACGTCACGTCACATGCGAACAGGGTTGAATAATCTCAGAGTGCTAGACTTGGCCCTATTGCGCAGCTCTTGTCTGAGTCTAACCGTTGTAGGGACGAGTCTTTTACTTGAAGGATTATCTGAGCCTCGCCGCATGTGATGGTATTCAGGTGATGGCTAATTGGCATCACAAGGAGGATTTCAGCAGCTGAGGACTGGATCGGGTATAGTCATAGGACTCCCTAGGGCAAGCCTAGGATGGGAGTAGCAGAAATTATTAACAGTAATAGTGACTTGGTGGAGTCAAGGCAGTACTTGAGGAAAGTACGGATAAATGTGGAAGGTAGTATGGGCCCGTACTACTGGAAGCAGAGGATCCGTACTCGAATCAAGGAAGGCTGAGATGAGACCAGGAAACTTGTGGTAGTAGTGATCCCTCGAGATATATCAGTGTTCCTGACATTTTTATGTTCTATTTCAGAATGGTGGTATTGCGCCCTAGACCAGCAGTTGGCAGTTCAGGAGAGGGATCGGGTTCGGGATCAGGCTCCAAGCCGGTGGATGAGGGGCTACGCGATTTCATCGCGACAGAGATCACCAGGGATATCCTTGAGTCGACCCCCATTATCTTCAGATCGATCAAGGAAGGATATGTGAGTTGATGGAGGATCGCCTCCGAGCATTCAAGAGCGACATGGCATCTGGCCAGTCGGGATCCCGCACACTGTCCTTTAAGGACTTCAGGGGCAGTGGTGCGCCGGATTTTCACGGGGCGAAGGACCCCATAGCTGCCAGGCGATGGATTGTAGACATTGAGTCTGCACAGATGATTAGCTTCTTCCCTGAGGGGTCGAAGGTGAGGTTTGCGGCAGGGTGTTTACGAGATCAAGCTAGGTTTTATGTATGCATGGCTTGTAAGATATGTGTAGCTTTAATTAGCTAACAGGATATGTGTATGTGTAGTGCATGGTATGCTTTGGGGAACTCACTAAGCATTTCGCTTACAGGTTATTGATTTGTTTCATGTACATCTGAGCCCAAAGGCAAGGGCAAGGCGTGATGGTGCGGCGTGCACTCTATCTCTCTCTCTTTCACTGTTAGGGTTTGGGGACACTCTGATGATTTGAATAAATTGTAATGAATCGTTGATTTGAAAACAATTATGTTGGGATTTCACGGTTTATGCAATTATGTTTTATTAATTAAAAATGAAAATTTTCTTTAAAAAATTGGGTTGTTACAATACATCTATATGTCACTTTTATTTTTTTTAGGAATGTAATATAGAGATTTATCTATCTGCTTTGAATGTACTTTTAGATAAAAAGTTGGCACTCAAAATTTAAATTTCACATTATAATTTGAAGAACAAAGTTAATGGTTATGCAATCTTAAAGTTCATTTTTTATAATACAATCATTGTTGAATTGATTTTTTTTACATCGAACAAGTAACATTCTTTTACAAAGAATACTACAAACAATACAATTATTATTATTTTTTTATATATTTTATTTGATAAACTAACATATTTCTATGTACTACAAATATGCACGCCAGAATCTGATTCGTTTAATGTTTTATCAGCAGATTCAAATCTCAACAAAAATAATATATGATTTTCATGATTTTGTTTGAGTAGTTAGGTGATTTGAGTACTATTGATTTAATATTATGTTTACATATTATTTGGTTTT